TGGCGTGAACCCGGGAGGCGGAGCTTGCAGTGAGCCGAGATCGCGCCACTGCACTCCAGCCTGGGCGACAGAGCGAGACTCCGTCTCAAAAAAAAGAAAGAAAGAAAAGGGAATGGCGTAATTTGTTGCCATTTAAAAATTATAAATCGGGGCCTGGCGTGGTGGCTCACACCTGTAATCCTAGCACTTTGGGAGGCCGAGGCGGGTGGTTCACGAGGTCAGGAGTTCGAGACCAGGCTGGCCAACATAGTGAAACCCCGTCTCTACCAAAAAAATTACAAAAATTAGCCAGGCACGGTGGCGGGTGCCTGTAATCCCAGCTACTCGGGAGGATGAGGCAGGAGAATCACTCGAACCCGGGAGGCGGAGGTTGTGGTGAGCCAAGATGGCGCCATCGGACTCCAGCCTGGGCGACAGAGCGGGACTCCGTTTCAAAAAAAATAAAAAAAATTACAAATCTGGGCGAGGGAGGTGAGCCGCTGCCGCGCCGCTGCCGCCGCATCCCTTCCGCGAGCAGGAGCCCGGACCGGGTCCCGCACGCAGCCCTAGCCGGTACCTTGTAGTCAGGCCGCTAGGGCAGCGCTGGGAGGAGGCGGCTGGACCCAGCGAGCGCCCGCGCGTGTGCCGTGACTGGGAAGCCGCCTGCCAGTCCCCTTCGCCTTCCTTTCCCCCGCCCCCACCTTCCAACCGCGCCAGATCGGCATCCGCTGCCAAAGTCAGTAAAAAGGAGCTCAACTCCAGCCACTACAGGGCCGACGAGACCTCAGGAAAACAGCAGGAGGCAATTGAACACATTGATGAAATCCAAAATGAAACAAACAGACTTAATGAACAAGCCAGTGAGGAGATTTTGAAAGCAGAACAGAAATGTAACAAACTCCGCTAACCATTTTTTTCAGAAGAGCAGAATTGATCACCAAAATCCCACATTTTTGGATAACAACATTTATCACCCATCCACAGGTGTCTGCACTGCTTGGGGAGGAGGAAGAAGCGGCACTGCATTATTTGAGCAGAGTTGAAGTGACAGAATTTGAATATATTTAATCAGGTTACACAATAGATTTTTATTTTGATCAAAATCCTTACTTTGAAAATAAAGTTCTGTCCAAAGAATTTCATCTGAATGAGAGTGGTGATCCATCTTTAAAGTCCACTGCTATCAAATGGAAATCCGGAAAGGATTTGACAAAGCGTTCAAGTCAAACGCAGAATAAAGCCGGCAGGAAGAAGCAGCATGAGGAACCAGGGAGCTTCTTTACCTGGTTTACTGACCATTCTGATGCAGGTGCTGATGAGTTAGGCGAGGTCATCAAAGATGATATTTGGCCAAACCCATTACAGTACTACTTGTTTCCCGATGTGGATGATGAAGAAGGAGAAGAAGATGATGATGATGAAGAGGAGGACGGATTAGAAGATACTGATTAGAAGGGGATGAAGAGGAAAATGAAGAAGATGAAGATGATGATGAAGGGGAGGAAGGAGAGAAGGATGAAGGAGAAGATGACTAATAGAACACTGATGGATTCCGACCTTCCTTTTTAAAAATTTTCTCCAGTCCCTGGGAGCAAGTTGCAGGGTTTTTTTGTTTTGTTTTTTGTTTGTTGTTTGTTTGTTTTCCTCTTGTGCTCAGTCACCCTGTTCTCGAGATCTCTTTTCTCTGTATCATGGTTCTCACCTTATTTGGGGGAAATACCTTGAGCAGAATACAGTGGGAAAAGAGTCTCTACCCCTTTCTGTTCTAAATTCATTTTTATCCCTTCCTGTCTGAACAAAAACTGTATGGAATCAACACCGCTGAGCTCTGTCGAAAAAAAGAAAAACCTGCTCCCTTGTCTCTGCTGGAAGCTGGAAGGTGTGAGGCCCCTGTGTGGCAGTGCCCAGAATTCTAGCTTTTTTACTCCTTTCTCTGTATATTCAGCTCAGAGAGTACACTGTGTCTCTGTGTGAATATGGACATTTGGCATTTACCAACATGTGTCTGTCTACTTTCTCTTGTTTAAAAAAAACAAAAACAGAAAACAAAACCTTAAAAAAATGGGTTTACAGAAGGTCAGCACAGGGTGGGTTTGAGATGTTCGGGTGGGTTAAGTGGGCATTTTGACAACATGGCTTCTCCTTTTGCATGTTTAATTGTCATATTTGACAGACATCCTTTGCAGTTTAAGATGACACTTTTTAAAATAAATTCTCTCCTAATGATGACTTGAGCCCTGCCACTCAATGGGAGAATCAGCAAAGCCTGTAGGATCTTATTTGAAATTGACATTCTCTATTGTAATTGTTTTCCTGTTTATTTTTAAATTTTCTTTTTGTTTCACTGGAAAGATGAGGCTCAGTTTTTAAAGGTTAAAAGTGGACAAGTTGCTTTGTTACAATAAAACTAAATGTGTACACACAAAACAAAGTTATAAATCTGGTGACTGTTTGTAGTAGTACTCACTATTTTCTAGCTGTATTAATATCCAACTGTATACTTGTATCATTGGCTCATTGCACCTAAATATAGCAGTGAAAGGGATTATTTTCCCAAAATGCTTTAATGATATTAAAATCATCTAGATTGGGTTTTATAGATTTTCAGAGCTGTTACTCTTTTGGTGAATGGAGTTGAAAAAAAAAGGAGGGAATTACATGAAGTAAGGATGATTTTGTACTTTTAATCATTTTGCCTATTAGAAATTAAAAAACATTTTTTTTTACCATGTTACATAGAAAATGGTTAAGGCCTAATTTTTCCCCCCATATTTGCCCAGCTACTTCATTGAAGAACCAAAATATCTGTACAATCTTTGAAAACAAGATGGCCGGGTATGGTGGCTAACATGTGTAATCCCAGCAACTT